AATGTATAAAATGTATTCCTTCAGCAAAGAGTCTGTATAGCATGTTGAGGAAACAGAGTAAAAGGTCAATGGAAAATATGCAATAAAGGTTGATTTTAATCCAAAACTGCACAAACATGCTTACGTTATGTAGACTGTAATTGCTGTGGCGGTCTAGCCAGGTCCACATACTTCATTAATCCTTTAATCTCTTCTTGTACTGCAGCCATTCGATAGCAGCAGAATTAATGAAACTTGACAGTGCGTCCATCCAAAGGTAAACTAATTTCTGTTTTCCAGGTGATGCAGTGTTGGACCAAATGAGGGAGGATAAGGAGACTGCAGAGAGTCAGGTGTGTATTGCGGCACTCCCGATTGACACCGGTGAACAGACTGAGAGTTTTGCTTTGTCTATTTTATTCTTTTAACACATTCAGTGTAACAATGCTTTCCTACCCTGCCCGTTTGGGGCAGCTGTATGGAAACAGACTTCCTGAATGCTGTTTGTGAATGACTGGGCCGTTTGCTTATGCAGTACTACTAAATGACACTATGTTTTTGTTTGTAGCAACAGGCTATATAGTGGATTTTATAGTTCTGTTGACTCATTTAATTCTTACAGTATAATGTTTTGTGGAGGTGAATTTAGTGGAGTTTAATTTCACTGAAAGGATTTGAAGCTTCCGTCATCCCAAGCTCTACAAGGATGACTGATAAAGCCAAACAAATTGGTAACACACTTCCATCGGGTCACCTCTGTGAGCGTGTTTTCAGCTTCACGAGTTTCCCTCCCATGTTTATTCTAAAAATGTTATACTGTAGTACGTGTCTGTGATGACTTGAGCGTGTTGTCGAGCAGAAGTCCTAATTTGAATTTCACTTTCTTTTCTTTTTTTTCTCCTTCTCTTTCTTTATTCCAACTCTTCTCCTCTGCCCTGTCTCTGATGTTGGCAATGCTGCACCACCATCAGGCAGCGGTTTGTTATTGTTTTCATCAGCTTCACTTGTGCATGTTTGTCCATCACTGTGGCTCTTATGTTTCATGTGGTCGAGTCACATTATTTGGTGTGAAAACTACAAATGTCCTCCAAAGATGAATCGAGCTTGATTTAAGCGTTCAGTGAGCGCTCTGTTAAGATTCAGAGGTTTTAATTGGCAGTCATCATAAGCGAGCTTTCTTTGTGGCTCATTTCAAGCTTTGATTCTTCTTTGATGACTTGCAGTAGCCACTCAGCACCTTCTTTTTTTTCTTTCTGTTTTTTTGGTTTATTTGTTTTATAAGGGGGATTTGATTTTTGGGAATATTTAGTGACACGTAGTTACTGTTGTCGTAACATCACCATAGTTACTGTCCACATTGTTGTAGCAATCAAAGCCTTTGAACAGTACAATAATTCTAACCCCCATTGTTTAAAATTATTAATATGTTAGAAAATGTTGTGCTCGTTGTTCTCCGGGGGCAGCCTTGATGCTAATGTTGTGTGTTTCCTTTACAGATTGATTTCCTGAATTCAGTCATTGTGGACCTCCAGAAGAAGAATCAGGAGCTCAAGGACAAACTGGAAAAAATGGCAGCTGCTGCCCTTAATGGGAATAATCCAAGCGAGCTGGATAACTATGACGGGTTAGTCCGATTCACAAAAGAGCTTCTCGGGTGTTTAAAATGATGTTCGCTGCGTGGCAATGACTCTTAACAATTTCTCCTTCTCCTTTCCTCCTTTTCTTCTGCTGCTTCTCCATTGTTTTTGTTCATGATTTTCTCCTTTTGTTCCTCCTTTTGCTTCTTTCTTCTTGTCTTCTCCTTTTTTCTACCTTTTCTCTCCTCTTTTTTTCTTCCTTCTTTTGCTTCTTCTTTGTCATTTTATCCTTCTTCTTCTACTTTTTCTCCTGCTCCACAGCCACGACAAGCAGCCTGCAAAGAAGAAACCTCCTCCGAGGCTCTTCTGCGACATCTGCGACTGCTTTGACCTCCACGACACTGAGGACTGTCCTACGCAAACGCAAATGCCAGACTCCCCTCCACACACCACCTACCATGGCAATAAGGGTGAGGAGCGGCCCTACTGTGACATCTGTGAGGTCTTTGGGCACTGGACTGACTCCTGTAACGATGACCAGACCTTTTAAAGCCTTTTTGCTTTGTTTTTTCTTTAAACCCTCATTCGCACAATCACTATATTTGCACACCATTTTGGATTACGCTGTGCTTCTGGGGTCCTAATTGTGCGTGTGTGTATACATTTTGTGTGCTTTTTTTTTTT